ATGTGCCTTGAAGTCAGCTTTGGGGCCATTCTAAGGGGCAGCTTGGAATCATGATTAAAGAATTCTACAACAAAATCCCATTTAATTTCATGTCCATCTACAAGAAAGACATGTTTTTTCAGGTTATTGCGCACACTTTTTAACAAATGTGGCGGGTCGTACATAAAATAGATGTTGTGGCTCTCACTACCGTCCTCCTTTTTCCACACAATAAATGGTTTGTCACCCGTTAAGCCTAACTCAGAAAACATCTTACGATTGTTTGAGCCTTGGTCTCCAATCACAACTTTTACCGTGAACCCTATATTTTGTAGCTTTTTTATGCAGTCAAGCAGTAGTATTTTTGTGTACTGCCAGGTGTTGCACTATTGGCTAAGAAGTAACCTACTGGTTGCTTCCACTTACATGACAGTCCCCTTACCATAAATACCAGGGCATGAGTGGCTATGTTTTTTGTTCTTCCAATAGAACCAAAATCCTCCATTCCCTCTACCATATCTTTTGCCATGTCATAGTAGAGGCCTGATTTCAAACTCATCTCATCCAAAGTTACAACACACACTTTGTTTCTTTCCGACATGGTCATACACTTTTTACGCAACACCTCAAAGCACGTGTTATTAAAACCAGGTTGTAGCTTCACGTTTTCCAACCATCTTCTCAATGAACTTACAGTTGGCAGTGCAAAAATCTTCCGACAAAATTTATAAGCCTTCGGGCTTTGGTAGTGAAGTGCGAAGGCCAACAGCTTGTCTTCCTTTGTATATCTTCTCCCTTTTGCTCGTCTCTTCGAAATTCTCATTTGGCTGGCGAAGAACTCTAGTGAAGTTTCATTCAGGTATTTTGCAGCGTTTTCAATAATATACTTGGTTGAACTCGAATTACGTTGTAAATTTTCCAAACTGGATTGCAACTTCTTTATTTTACGCCTCAGTCTATACATCTTTGCCCTCTTTGCTGCATTGATATTTATTTTTTTTTCTGCGATGAGCATCCTTTTGTGTACCCTTACCAGGCTCTTTGAAAACACACAGAACAAATATTAATGTATAGACCAGTTACCGTACTACTTCTTAGCAAACACAATATTAATAACATTTAAGTGTAAATTTCTTAATTGAATTTTATTTTACTTGGTTATGTCAAACCTCCTCATTAATTATAGGCTATTCGATTTTCGTGTTTTGAAGTTTCTTACCTTGTTTATTTGTGTTGGAGGACGATTCCTCGTATGACTCATTTATCAACAAATTATTTTTTGCATAGCTGTGGTCTGCCTTTAATTCAGAGCAAAGGGCGTCGACTTGTGTGCCAGAAGGAATACTCTTTTCTGTAATTTCTAAAGAATCAGTTTCTGAAAAGCAATAGGAACAAGAATTAACCATTACGATAATTTTTCACAAAAACATAACTGTTGAAATGCAAAAGAATTATGTTTATTATTGGTTTATTGTGCGTTTTTTTTTAAATTTAAAATGTGTGCATACATCTAACCATTTTCAATTCAACATACACCCACATAGGCCCCCACACACAAAACATGCTTATGTTTATACTAGTTTAACTGAATAATTTTGTAATCTTTGTATACCTAGTTCGTTTGTGCTGGAGTTATTTCCAGAGGTCGAGTGTTCGTTTGGCTCCCTATCTAATGTAGACCTATTTGGTTTTTCATGGCTCTTTTCTTTATTGCAAAGTGCATCCATTTGTGTGTCAAGAATAGTATCGTCTGTAACTTCCAAAGGTGCTTTGGGTTCTGAAAAGCAAGGAGCACAAGTAAAAATGGTTACAATCATTTAACATCAAAACAGATGAACACACGCATAACGCCAGATTTGAATATACAAACCATGCTGTTACTTTAAAATGGGTCTCAGTTTAACCCAATATCTCCAACTGAAAACACACCATTAAATAACACTTCATAAATATAGGCCTATATCCTCTATAGTTTGTTATAGGCATATTTTTATGTTTTTACAATTCTGCAAGTGGCGATTCTTGTTTGTTTAAATAAAAATAAAAAATTCAAATCATAGGCCATACCTGGTTCTATTATACTGGAGTGACTTCCAGTGCTTGTTTGTTCGTCTGGTTCATTTTCCAATGAATAATGCTTTGCATAGCTGTGGTCTTCTTCTAAACCTATTGCAGTACAATGATATAGATAATTTATAAAGGGCCTATATTAAACCTATAATAAGCAAAGCTAATACATCAACATTTAGCCAAAAATAATATACAAACATAAAAAAAAAAAAAACTGTCAAATAATTTTCTGAAATCTTAGACCTAGGCATATATAAAGTAGGCCTTTTTTAAAAACTTTTGTCAAAATTATAATCCAGATATAAATATTGGAGCTGATTGAGACATTGTGTAATTGAGGTACAACTACAATTCTTCCATCCTAATACGATAACAAATATTCTTACTAATTTAGTGAAATGACTTACAAAATTTAATTATTTTAGCACTTGTGTAGCCTTCCTCATTTTTGAATTGTAGTTTATGCTTTATGGGCTTTCTTTGAATCGGAATTTCAAGTTTAGTTGGGACAGCATTCCACACCAGTCTGCCTGTACACAGAATCTGTGATTGCTCAAAATGATCTGAACAGATTTTATAATTCTTATAGAGACAATCGGTTGACTTATCCCATAAGTCATTTTTCTTCATATTTTGGATCCACTTTCCACATCTGAAAATGAAATACGATAAAAGAAGTGCTGCTTATAGTAAGTAAGAATCAAGTACATGAAGAAAACAATCTAGGCATAGGATAGGCCTATCTGTTCAAATAAAATTTGCAGTTAACCCTTTTCACGGGACCTGGTTAGACAAAGCACTTATTCAATGGTTTTTACTTAGTAAGGGGCCTAGACTAGGCCTATATATAATAAATGGGTTAGGTCTAATTAATTTAAAATTGTAATACAGTAACTAATAGGCAAACCGCCACACATTGCCAATATTTAGC